TTTATTTTTAGTGTATGAGTGTTTTGCCTTTATGCATGTGAGTGTGCTCATATTGTACAATGCCCACAGAGGCCAGAAGAGGGTGTTGGACCCCCTGGAACTGGAGTTATGAATGGCTATTAGCTCCCATTTGGGTATTGGGTAAAGCATGTGGGTGCTGGGAACCAAACCCAGGTCTATTGCAAGAGCAGCCAGTGCTCTTAACTAATGAACCATTTCTCTCCAGCCTCCCCACCCCCAAAGTTTATTGTTTAAAAAGTCTCTCTCTAGGTCATAAATCCCAGAGAAAAACCCTATCTCCGTCATATCTCTAGAGAAATGAAATCCTTACTCCATGCTAAATATGAGTCCTTATATTTACAGGCATGTATATCATATACCACTCATCAAAGAAACTTCTTTTTGTAAAAGATGGGGGCTATTATTACAGAGTTCCACAACTGATCACACACAGAGAATATATGCCTAAGAGATGCCCAGCCCTAAGAGACACATCTACAGTAAAACATCTACACTTAAGCCTCATGGAACACAGAGGAAAAAGGGGTATGGAGAATACATCCTTCAACTCACCAGCATAGCTTCCTCATACAACAGAGTGTGATACACACAGAAGGCCACAACTAGCTAAGTTTTAGAGAATAAGAAACTGTAGAGTGTGCATCTATGGATAGGACTCCTATACTAAACGTCACCCACCCATGGCTCAGGGACCATTGCAGAAGAGGGGATGGAAAGATTGTAAGACCTAGGGTTGGTGCATGAATATAAGGAAACAGAGGCTTTCGACCACCGGGAACTTGCTCATGAACGTACAACAATGGTGACAGGATGCACAAGCCCCGTGTTGACTCAATTAGACAAAAACTCAGCATAGAATGGGAAAAATGGGCAGCAAGTTCCAATCCTAGCCAAGGAACTATTGGAAAATGATTACGGTGGGGTGAGGGAGAATAGATCTTCTCTAAGGGAGTGACTTTAGATCTGCTGACTAGACTCCAGTGGATGAACTTGCATCGATGGACATCTGGCTATAAATGCTTGACCAGATAGGATTCAATATCTGAAATCTGGTGGGGGGAGGGCTCTGGAGGGCAGGGAGGGAGCAAGGGGGGGTCTAAATTTGATTAAGATCTATTATATGAAATTCACAAAAACTCAATAAAAAGTCCCTCTCTACTAACTGACTTTTTATTATAATTTAAATATAAATTTATGCTCATTATGTTTATTAAAGCTTGATCTATTTTATAAATGAGTATGGGATTAAGCTTTTGTTTGTTAAAACAATGAGCTGGGTAGGGCTCAAGGTCTCAAGACCATCAAGCATCTGAGGGCAGTGCAGACTCAGGAGCAGCAGGTTCATAGGAAAAGAGGCTGAGACCTGAAGTCAGATCCTGGGCACAGCCCTTCCTGGCAATCTGGTAGGTTAGGGCACTTCTGGATCTAGGTTTTCGTAATAGTAAATCAATATCAGAGATGATTAGTAAAAGTCAGCTCAAGGTATCCAAGCCCCCGTGTCACCTTGCTAAGCCTTCCTTGTTCAGCCTTGTGCACCCATGCAGCACCCATAATTCTAGCCCATGGGCTTTTCCATTGCAAGTCCTTCACCTGCCTTGCTGCTCTGGCTTGTGAACATGATGTTCCCATTTTCTGGAACACCTTTGTGGACACTTTGCTTCTGGCAAAGTTTTGTATATCCTTCCAGAATTTGCTCCTTGCCACTTCCAATGGCTTATCCAGACTCCCCCAGGCAGTTTATGTACTATTTTGTAACTGCCCCACTCTTTCATAGAGGCTGTGGGGCATTCCCAAAGAATAAACTACTTACTCTACCTCCCTACCCCTCCATACCACTTCGAAGGCCCAGAAGTGCATCCTGCCTGACCCCTTGTCAGATGCCTCTCCCCTCCTCCAGGCCATGGAACCCTCAGGACCAAGGATGGGGTGGGGGATTTGGCTTGGCTCCTCTATCTGGTACCTGACTCCCCCTTCTGCAGCAGGCAACATTAGTATGTAGATGACTGGCTTCCGTTATGAAATGAATGACCTGGTTTTTTTTTTTCCCTCTGTTTACCATTATCACAAAAATACTTCATGAAATCTTTGCTGTTAGAATTCTATTTTAGCATCTTTGTACAAAAATTTCCAAGGCAACTAGTACTTTAAGTAGAAGGGGAAGTGTTTTGGCTACTCTTAAAAACTACCAGCACACCCCGTGGCTGCCCAGGTTATCAAAACTGCTTTGCTCATCCCACTGAGATGGTCAGATGCCAAAGACATTTTCATGAAGAATCAAATCAATGAAACTTCTGGGGTAGCATAATTGCATTTAATTTTTAAGAGGCAATCCTTTTGATAAGTTTTTCACCAAATCTTAGGGAAGAAAGCAGATGGAATTCAGAGGAAACTGTCTCTGTGTTAATCCAGCTTTGTAAATAGGTGGGTAGGCCTGTGTCTTTCAAAGGAGAAGGATTAAGCGGTTACCATCACACTTGTGGTTTGGCATATCACAGCCTCTCATAAATCCACTGGTCCTCCAGGGGTCACTGTGCATGTGTTCCTGTTCAACCATGTGCACAGGCTTTCTTGTGCAGGAGGGCTGGTGAGGTGAAGGGCCACTCTCTATAAGCTGCTTCCTCACATCGAGAGAGATATGCCTGGACCCTATACAGCACACTGACTGTGTGAGGTCTGCTACAGTACCTGGAGTGACTCTGGGCCAGTGTGAGAAGTGTAGACCGCCAAGGATAACCAGGAAGATCTCTCCATAGAGAAAGCCTTCTGCCCTTAGCACAGGGCCAGTGCCTATGTTCCCCAGACCCTAATATCATTCTCCTTCTCCTGTCCTCTTCATGGCCCCTGCTCAGCATGGACTCAGTATGGAGTTCCCCTTGTCTCCCACTTCCACTGTTCTAACTGAAAATAATATAACAATCACCCAATCTGCCTTTGTTCCTGCGATCCTACTGGCTAAGCAATGACAGCATTAGCAAATGTCAGAGCCCTTGCCTGCAGCTGGCAAGCTGGTCTTTGACAGCCTCCTCCCCAGGCTCTTTATAGACTCTTCATTACGTTCTTCCTGCCTACCTTACTACCTTGTCCTTTCTCAGCAGAAACACTCAATTTTTCTACATGGAGAAAATGGACGCTGGCTCTTCTAAGCACCTTTCTAGCATTTTCCTCTAACCCATGACTCTTGAGACGGCTCTCCTAACTTTTCGTGGATGCCCTGGTGGCCCCTTGCTATCTCACAGTAAGTGTCCCCTATCCAAAGTTTGGCCCTGTCTGCCTGGAGCTCTTGCTAGTTACCTCCCTGTTTTGCTGGTTCCCCTCCTTATGGTCAGAGCTCAAGGGTGGAGTTGCCTTTAATGACAGATTCTATTCCTCTTCCAAGTCATACCCCCCTCTCTCTTCATTTTGGCAGTTTCTCAAAATGGTTTATGCTTGTTATTATCTTTGCCTTTGTTAATTACAAAGACTACACATTGACTGTAGGAATTTTAGATCATACAAACCAGGACATGAAAGCACAAACATCATGGGATTCCAGCTCCTACAATGTTAGCATGCTGGTACAGAACCTGGGTCTTACCTGTGCATACAAGAGCATAAAGAAGGTAATATACTAGATAGCATATGTGCATCTATTTTTCAAAGTACAGAATCAGTGGGCACTCTGGACCGGTCCTTCCTGGACTCCTTTCTTAGCAGGCTCCTTAGTGTTGGCACTTCTCCCTCTGTCCTTCACTCTCCCTCCTGCCTGTTGCATGGTCTCCTCCTCCCTGGTGTCTGTTGCTGCTGCTGCGTGATACACAAATACTGTCCATCCCTGCTTTCTGAGCCCTGCCTCTCTTTGGAACTCCAGACTTCTCTACTGTGATATCTAAATATGGACATCTATGGATTCTTCAAATATAACAGGAGAACACAGGCATTTTCCTCCCTTTATATATTCCTGTGCTGATATTTCTCTAAGAGTAGTATCTCGCCTCCCCTTAAATAAGCAACAAACAACAAAACTTCTCAAAACCATCCAAAAAACAGCACACCCCACTTTCCAAACCTCCCTCTTACACACCCACATTGGGTGTTATCTTGGGACTTTCTATACTGCTTGCCCTATTACATCCAGTCAGCACCTGAGCCTGAAGAGCTGATATTCTAAATCTTTCTCAAGGGATTCTCTGTCTTCATTTTCATTTTCAGTGTTTGAAGGTGGACAGCTCTCACTCTTTCTTTGGATATAGTCTATGGTCTCCTAGACAACTGGCAGAGTTCCTCATGGAACCATTCTGGGTAAGACTCCTAGTATGGCTTAGACATGGTTTGAGTGTCCTCTCGGTCAAAGCTTCCTGGATTCAGGGCTTGGTTCTCAGCATAGCAGTGCTGAGAGATGGTGGGACTTTTAAGAGGTGGGGCCAGCCAATGGATTCCTGTCCCACCATGTGAGCTTTTCACATAGCTCCTGCTATTTCTCTACCATCTGCCATGAGGTAATAGGGGGGCGACCTTGCTAGAGCTGCCACTATGGCCCTTTGGATTTTTACTCTCTAAAATTGAGGGGACACCTACATAATCCCAGCACTTGGAGGCAGAGGCAGGAAGATCAGGAGTTCAAGGTTACCCTCAGCTACATGGAGAGTTTACGGTCAGACTAGGCTACATAATACTTTGTTTCAAACCAACCAAGCAACCAACCAAATAAATAAAAAAACCAAAATATAGAATTGAGCTTAATAAACTTTTCTTTATAAGTACCCAGCCTCAGAAATATCATGACAGTAACAGAAAACAGAGCAATACAACTTACTATAATTAATTAATTAAATTTAATTAATTTGAGACAGTGTCTCTCTGTAGCCCCAGCTGGCCTGGAACTCACTCTGTAAACCAGGCTGGCTTCAATCTCACAGAGATTTGCCTGCCTCTGCCTCTTGAGTGCTAGGATTAAAGGCCTGTGCCACCACGCCTGGCCTCAACTTACTTTATTAACTTTTTAAAGTATGGAGCACTTCTCAAATTTGTATGTAATCTTTGCCCAGGAGTAGTACTAATCTCTGTATCATCCCAGTTTTAGGATGTATGCTGCTGAACCAAACACCCCTCCTTATTTTCTTCAGACTTGTGTACCTTCTTTCTTTCATTCATTTATTTATATGTGTATGTGAGTGTCTGCATGAGAGTATCTGGGTATGCACAGGTGTGCAAGCCAGTGAAGAAGCAGAGACCAGAAGGTGTCAGATCCCTCAGAGCTGGAGTTAAGTGTTTGCCAGGATACCCAGCTTTATGGGTATGGGCTCTATGTGGACTTTGGTTCCCATGATTGTGTAGCAAGTGCTCTTAACCACTGAGCCACCTCCTCATCTTACACATCCTCTTTCTTAGTAGACAACATCTAGTGATAACCTTCAGTTCTTTTTAGGCAAGTGATCTACCAGTAAGCTACATCCTCAGCCCTAGCAATCCTATTTACATTAGGATATGTTGCCTTTACCTTCCCAGTAACTGATGAGCTGGATTCAACCACTGGATTTGGCTCTCTCTCTTATTGATGAAAGAGGCCCAAATATTTTTGGTTGGGCCAAGATATTTTCTATAAAGACTAAACCCTCAGGCTGGGCATGATGATATAGAGATAGAAAAACCAAAACTTTGGGGTCAGCCTGAGCTAGACAACAAGATCCTGTCTTAAGACAACAACAATAACAAAAACTAACAAACCAACCAACCAAACAGAAAACCCAAACCCCAAAAAGAGCAGGGTTGGACCCTGTATAGTCAGTGGTCAGAGTCATATGTTCTAAGAGCAGCTAAGGAGAAGCTATTCTCTATGCCTATCTCCATGGAGGTAAGTAACTGGGGAGCTAGCTTCTTCCATTTCCCTATCCTGTATGTTCCCTACACTTCATATTGTGTGACAGGGATTGCTGGAATTGGGAGAAGACTGAAATACAACAGGGTGATGGTCCAATCAGATAAGCATTGGGAAACACTCTGGAGATTCTGTGAGCAAAGGTCTCTGTTTATTTTGGGGTTTCTCAAAGCCTCAAGGGAATGTGATAGGAGAAGGAACCTGGTACGGATATGCTAGCCCCAATTCTGGCCTTTTAACCAGAGTACTCAAGTGACTTTATACTTTTATGGAAGGATACTCCACTGCTTTGCTACCTGTCCTGAAAGTACAGCCCATGCTTCTTAGCCTGCCACCTCAGGCCTCTCTTTAACTTCCCTTCCTGACACCCTTTGCCAGTCATGCCCCAGCAAGTCCAAGCTATATACTCTTCCTTGAACACACTGTCTCTAGCCTCATCCTGAAGGCCCTCATTACCCATTTCTGTCTATCTAGTTATTTTCCTGAAATGTGAAACACTGCTTAAAAGTTGATTGCTGTATTAAGTGTTCTCAGCTCTTATACAAGCTGTTCCCCCTACATGTCAATCCACATAGACATGAGCTTCCTTTCCCCTCTCTACTTCTGTAACCAAAGGTAACCCAGTATATTGAAGGTGCTTGTCACCTGTCTACTGTCTCTGACCATGACCTGCATTCTCATTGTTGCATCCCTAACACCTGGCACACATCTGGTGTGCTAGGTGGATGAAGACTGATAGCATTTCTGGCAGCAGAAAAGGCAAAGAAGCTTGAGAAAGCTTCAGGCCCACGCCCGAAGTTGGGTCTGAATAGAGCTTAAAAAGGCTGGCTGTAGAAAAAAGGGACAGATGACAGGATGCTGACTTTCTAAGCATTCTGAACCAGGGCTTGAGAGAGTTGAGAGAATTGATCATTTGGGTTAATACACCACTGCCCAATGCAGCTGGGTGGGGGTACCAACAAGACTATAAAATCTTACATGAGTCTCAGAGAGCAGAAACATCTGTGAAAGCCACAGCAGATAGGCTGGCCAAGTTCAGCAGTGGGTGAGCCAGGACAGCCCTGTGACCAGTGGAAAGGGCCACTGAAAGGAAAAATCAATCATCCAGGCAAAGAGGAACAGGAAGGATGAGCAGTGACATTAGGACAGACACTGTCTAAGAGGTAACATTTTGTCTTTTTAAATCCAGGCCTTGGCTGGCTCCCCAGGTAACAGCTCCCCCAGCACCCCCATATCCTCAGTGCCCAGTAGCCCTGATCTGGGTTGGGGTTTTCTCCTAGACGTCGAGGTTTTCACAACAGGTGTGCTCAGCTAGCTCTTGGCTCACATACTGGAAGTAACTTAAAGGAAAGAGATAATTTGTTTGCCTGCCAACACCTCTGTTTAAAGAGTTTTCTTTTTCACAGCAACATTTCCATGAATTCAGAATTTGATCAACTTTGCTACACAGTTTGACATTAACAAAATATCAACACTGACAACCTGCTGGTGTCAGAAAGGAACGTCTTAAAACTCTTTGGACTCTACATGAAGACAGGCTTCCAATCCCAATCTTTGATCTCTATTATAAAGCACTACCAATAAAATATCCTAGAGATTTACAGGCGAACTTTCATTTGAGCTGTTTCACACCTAAAATAACATGAATGGTTGGGCCAGTAGGCAGAAAATTTAGGTTTAGGTTTCAACTATCTAGGTTTTATTTTACTTTTAAAACTTAATTCACTTTTTAAAAAAAATACCTTAAAACTTAAAATTCAAAAAAAAAACCCACTTAAAATTCAATTGTATTTCTCTTCTAGAGAAGATGGCTGAGAGACATTAACTGAGTAGATGTCACAGCCTCTGAAAAGGATGGGCTCAAGTTCAGACATAATAGGCATCCTCATCCTAACAGAACTATCTTTTGTCAGAAATACTGAGTGTGGTTTTTTTGGTGTGGAATTACACAAACGCTATTTAAGTTTATCTTTCTGCTTGACTATATTGCCTTGCTTGACTCCCTATACTGTGAGTCAACTTTCAACAAAAAGCATTTCACTTAAAGCCAGTGAGCTGGGATCTGGACCCTGGACTGGCTTCACTGTACACTGTTCTAATCTGCAGGATCATTCCCCAACCAAGCTTAGATTGCAATTCTGACCACCAGTCACTTACAGGTCAGCAACTCAATGAAAAGAAGTCAGAGCCACATTTCCTATAAATGGGAAATCATCGAAACCCCCAATCACCTTTCCTGGAGTGATGGAAGATGGGAGAAATTATCCGAGCACACGAGAGTGCAGAGAATATGCAAGGGGGAGAGGCAGGTCACTCAGCTTTTAAGAAGATCTTTATAGGCAAAGTAAAGTGAAAACAGCAGAAAAGTTCCTGGACACAGTCCTTTAAGAAACAAAACCGAGTAGGAAGAAAGGTCAGAGCAGCGGTTCAAAGGCATCAGAAGGCACAGCTGCTGCTGTCCAAGGTTGCGGCCCGGCGCCTAGAGCTCCTGCCAAACTGGAGGCAAACTGGGCAGCAGCAGTGGCTCACAGCCTCTTCCACACAGATTCCCACCTTCAGAGCTTAGCAGCAGAGCCTCAACAGGCACTCCTAAAGAGAGCTTCTGAAGCTGTGACAATCACAAAACCAAAGTAAAGGGAGCAGTAAGACAAGTGCAGTGATTTAATCCAGTTTTCTTTTTTCAGTTTCTGATTTTCAAACAGAGTTCATGGTTATAAAAGCAGAATACAGAAGTGAGACAAGAGAAAGCCATCTGCTCAGAGAAAGAACTTCTGTCTCAAGTTCTGAAGAACACGGCTAAACTTTTCCAAATGGAGAATGCTGCACATTTACTAGGTGGAAATAGTCTTTATGTTTAGTAAGAGATAACTTCAAAGATTGAAGCTTTCCACTGTGACACTAGTTTTTGTAGCTAAGCAGGATCTGGAAGCTAATCTTCCTTATCAACAGGTTTGGGCCAGCAGCACAGTCAGGCAGGAAGTACACAGGGGACACCTTTAGCCTAACGTCATGTAGAGTCAATGTACAAGTATCAGAACTGCATTCTAGGGAGGGTCAAGCTAAGATACCAAAAGGAGCCAAAGTTGACTACAGGTCACCCCATAAAAGGCACACCCACCCCTAACTTGGTGTGCGTGTGTGTGTGTGTGTGTGTGTGTGTGTGTGTGTGTGTGAGAGAGAGAGAGAGAGAGAGAGAGAGAGAGAGAGCGAGAGCGCGAGTTCGAGCACACACATAGGAGAGAGAGCGGGGGGGTGTGTGTGGGGAGAGAGAGAGAGAGAGAGAGAGAGAGAGAGAGAGAGAGAGAATGTTCAGGCACACACATGCCATAGTGAGTGTGTGGAGGTCAGAAGACAATGTTGGGTGTCAGTCCTTGCCTCCCACCTTGTTTATTACAGGGTCTGTCTCTTTTGTTTGACACTGTGTATGCCAGGCTAATTTATTTTCACTGTTTTGTTTTTGTGGGTTTTGTTTTGTTTTGTTAGTATAGAGTCTCACTGTGTAGCCCTGGCTGGCCTGGAACTTGCTATATAGACCAGGTTGACCTTGACCTCACAGAGATCTGCCTGTCCCTGTCTCCTAAATGCTGGAATTAAGGGCCACCATACCTGGTATCATTGTTGTATACCCTCCCACTGGGTGAATATGCCATAGTTTATTTGTTCATTATACAGTGAATGATAGTAACAAACTTCTGGTTGACTATCTTGAATAATGCTCTAATGAACATTTTAAGCATTCTTTTTATAATATACATAGCATGCATTTGTATTGGCACATACCTAGAATTTCTGGACCACAAGGTATTTTTTTTATAATGCACACAGTATATATTTATATTGGTATAAACATAGAATTTCTTTACATTCAGCTTTAAAAGATATGTCAGGGATGGTGGGATGGCTCAGTAGGTAAAGGCATTTGCCACCAAGCATGGCAACTTGAATTCAATCCCTGAGACCCACATGGTGGGGAGAACCAACTCCCACAAGTTGTGCCCCAACCTCCACATGCACACTGTGGTGTGCACCCCCTGACAACTGAATAAATGTAATAGAAATTTTAAAAAAGATAACTACCAAACAGTTTTCCAAAGTAGTTGTACCAATTTGTTTTCCCCTAGCAATAGGAGTTTCTGTTACTCCCTAGTTTTATGGATACATGGTATATTCTGTCTTGTTATTTCAGTCAGGCTGGTGAGTTCTGTGCATCTTCTGAGGTGAGAATGCTT